TGAACAATATCATGAATTATAAAACAATAAATCATTATAATAATCATTATGGCTTACCTTTATGCTCATCTTGATAGATCTGCACAGCAGTTTCTATCATCCCTAAATAYAGATTTCTCAGAGGAATTATCCAAAGCCCACCAGGATGRGTTTCCCCACCAGTTCCAAACAAAACCATATCCCTTCCRTCTTTCTTGTGGTATAAAACGGGYGAAAAATAGGTTTCCTTTTCATCAGGAACAACAACCCATCTTAGGACTTGACCAGTCTTGCCAGAAAATATGATAAGCCTCCCTTTCAATCTTTTTGCACTGTTGGCTTCTCTGGAATATCAATTAAATACAGCGTGGTTATATTAAGCATCTTGAGTACCATAGTAATAAAACACTGGTATTATTTGACTGGTTTTATTAGTTTATTAGTTCTTAAGTAATTGAACTTACGCTAAAGGATCACCTCCATGAGCTGTCAATACATCCATCACTCCATCGCCATTCATATCCCTTATAAACTGTGCAGTGTACAAGTTCATCATTTCATCTCTTGCAGGCTGGTCCCCAAAGTTCCACAGTAACTTTCCACTTTTACCACTAATAGCCTGAAATGCCCCGCCTCTACCTCCCAACAAGCAATCCCATGTTCCATCCAARTCTAGGTCTCCATTGCAGTTCAGAGCATAAATCTCATGCATACTGTAATGCCTCCATAGTTCTTTACCTGTGATGCCGTCTAGCGCTAATGCACCTCCATAACATGGATAAGTACCGTTAAAATAAAGATCACATGAAAATTTTGGTGGACGATAACCATCAACTGCRGTAGAAAAGCTGACAATTATGTCTTTTACTCCATCTTGATTGACGTCATTCAGTCTCACAGCTGTTTCTGTCATTAATTTTGGTAAATTAGAGTTCCAGACTTTTGAGACCTTAATAGAATCACAACCTTGTATACTATCGTCATTCAGTTTCAAGATGTTATTATCCTGTAAGATTTTCTTCACATTGTTCACTGCATTAGAATCTTTGCTATTGGCATTATCAATGGCTCGYAGGATCAGTACAACAAGTCCAACAATACAAATGCTAAAAAAGCCCAACCACATTAAGCARCCCATACATGATTTTGCTGTACACCATGGCTTTGTTTGCTTACGTCGAATCTTTGTTTTGGTATAAGGATGCATGAGGGGTTTCTGTACATCTTTGATGCCACTGTAAGGCATATTAGAGTTTTTATGGTAWGARCCATTGTAACYATCGTCTAGCTCGTCTTCAGTATCATCATCACTTTCAAGATGTAAAAACTCATTGGTTTGAGGTTTGTACATATTACTCAGTGCCATCTGGGGAAAATGTTTGAATCAAGACAAAAACCAGAGTAATTGCATCAATAGGGTAAGGTATTAACTCATTTATTATCTAGTAATGTACAATGAATAAATTTCTTCAAGCAAACAGGGCACTCAGCCTTAATTCATTCATTCAAAGAAAACCAATTCTTCAGATTTAGTTGGGAAGATATAATAATATTTCAAAAAATACAAAACTATATAGTAGTAAACAAGTTTTCAAATTTTTTTTCTTTGACTTATTGTCTCAAAATTATATCTTTAATTACTAACAGGAAGGATGCAAATATTAATGGCAAAATAATAGCAGCTAGTTAAAAAAAAACAGTCATAAATGTAGGTGAATAGGATTTGCAAAGGATTTATTACATCCTGGTAGAGRGATTTCAAATCTTTTAAACCTGATTTATGAGGTTTTACAGCTTAAATTCAAGTTTTACCAAATAGTGTTTTTTTTAAACGAAAATCCAGTAAAAATAAAATCAATTCAAAATCATAAAAAACCGGCTAGCAAAGCAAAATAGACTAAATAAATGAATAAATGAAAACGAATAGACCAGACCGAGAGGATTTCAAAATGACTGTTGTTTTTCGTGTCAAGTGTTCAAACGTGAAATGATCATCCCATTTCGTTTATCTTTTATATTGTTTTAACAAGTTATGCCAAATTTCAAAAGAAATGATGCACCCAAGCTTAAATAGTTCAAAAGATTCACAAGTATGCTATATTTTTCTAGAGAAGAAACGGTAACTCATGTTGAGAATGATTGCCTTCATAAGCTTAACTGAAGATATCGAAAAAACTGTGGTTCGATGCACGCCATTTTGTAATCATAAGTCAAAGAAACGTCAATATTCGAGTACAATTAATATTTAAATTCACTTACCTTACTTGTTTTAATAAGATGATATCAGTTTGTATCATTAAAACGTGAAAAMCATCACATATCAAGGCATCTTTGCGAGATTTGGACAAACACAGCTTGATCGATCATTACTTTACTGACCGAGGGAGGGATGGTAGAGAACCATAATATATATATTTTTTAATGGATATATTCCTATTAAAAGTCAATATTGTAAATCAATATTGATTTGGGTTTGAAATATCATAAGACAATTATCAAAAAGGAGCAACAACAGTTATCCAAGACATTCAAAACGTTGATATTTCTGACTAATACCCTCAACCTCCCCTCCCCCATAAGAAAACTCCTAAATACCCATCATCCCTTGACTCAAACATCAACCGTCGTCATAGGCATAGAGCTGCCAGCCTCCAGACCTTTTGGACTAGATATGTTAATTAAAATAAGTCCGTTTGGGCTTGTAATAATCGAGTGGCCTTATTTTACACCAACATTTGGCAGGGATATCTCGCTGTTATGCTAGCATGATGAACTTTCATCTTGGTTAATTTTTTTCTGATGGCCTTATACTTTTTAAATTACTCATATCAAAAAAATAATAAAAATAAATAAATAAATAAAATGAAATTAAAAGTAATTCCTGAGTATGTTACCTATATTTTCAGGGCTGGCTATGTCAAACAAGGATATCCAGTTTCCTCATTCCCTTCATGGCTCTTGGTAACCCCATAAACAGGTGAACATGGAACAAATATTCTAGTTCTGGCTTTGCTTAGCAATTTAATTAACTAATTGTGCAGCTTAAAATCACAACATGAACAGCCCTACCGACAGACAGTGAGGTGGATCTGGTTATAAACATGATTTAATGTTTGTGTTTTTAAGTTAAAACTTCTTGGAACAACTATTGCATCTCAAGAAGTCATAATAACCACTTACACTTTACAAGCACAAAAATATCAATTGAATTTGTCCTATGTCAGGATATCTTGAAATTTGATATCTTGAAATTTTACATTTTCTTTTCTAATCCTATTCTGCTTTAACTGATGTTGGTGAAGTGCTACATTGCTAATGGTCAAGTCAAGTTAAAGTTATTCATCCATATGYAAGTCATATCTTCTAAATCTGTCCAAATTATAAAAGGAAGCCTTAACAGTACGTCCTCCAAAATACCGTCCATTTAAATCAACAACAGCTTTGATAGCAGATTCTACCCTTTGGAATTCAACAAAAATTCTCACTGCTTCTTCCTCTGCGACCCCCKCTGGGATTTCRTAGATTATAACTTTTGCAACTTCACCATACTTGGCACACTCTTCAGCTGTTTCCGGTTGGAGTTCATCATCCACTTCACCAGGACCAACCATGTTGCGAAGTAAAACAACCTTACTAGGGTTTTTCATTGTGGATACAAGAGAATCTTGTTCAATGCTTTGAGCTTTAGCTTCTTTGTCCTTATTAATAATTTTTCCACCCCTTTTACTTGTCTTTTCAACTTGAAGACAAGTATTGATACCCTGCTCYTGTTTTCCAAGCCCCTGTCCATCCTTCCAGCCATACTTTGCCATGATCTGTGAAGCAATCGGGCTGTTAAAGCCAACATTTGGCTTCTCTKGGTCAGATATTGATGCAAATGGCTTTCTTTCAAATACAGGCTCTAGAGGTTCATSTTCTTCAACTGGGTCAGGAACAGATTCCTCCATGAGAAAAGTAGGAGGTGCAATGGCTGCTCCACTAGTTCTTTTAGATGACCGCCTGGAGTAGCTAGTATCTTCATCACTTTCGTTGTTTCTGTGTCTGTCTCTACGTCTATCTCTGTCTCTATCTCTGTCACAGTCCCTTGAATCATAATCTTTATTTCTATCTCTGTCATAATCTCTGTCTCTATGGTTATCTCTATCACGCTCTCTTTCACCATCTCGGGAACTCCTTTCTCTTTCTCTTGTCTCTCTTTTTTCTCTATCTCGCACTTCACGATGTTTTTCTTTGATAACTTCATACTCATTGGGTCGTAGTGGATCATACTCATCAACAACTACTGTAACAGAAGCTTCTGTTTCAATAAAMGGCTCCGAGCTCTTCTCAGTACTTTGCAGCTGATTCCTTGTAGTTGGTTCATTATTAGCTGTTTGGCGGGAGTCTTCTTGATCGTCATTGGTTCTTTTTAACCCACGATCCAAAATTACCGAGTTGATAACAGTTGATTTTTGTCCAGAAAAGGCTGGTTTGTTTTGAACTACTCTCTTTCGCTGGAGTTGTGTTTGCATTAGCTTTAAGCTTGAAGACCAACCAGAAAGCTCACCACTTTCATTGGACGAAGGCGTTTGCAAAGGAACACCATCCAGATCGTCATATAAAGACATTTTTGTATACCGTAATCAACTTTATAGTAAGTTCCACGTGAAATTCAAGATGGCGTGCGCGAGAACAACTAAATATTATGGGATAGATAGATGAGAGGTCCTGGAGCGACTSTTATATTATCCCGTCCCAGGCCGTCCCTAAATTTTTTTCTTGCMWCAGAAAACGACAGCGAAAGAAGGTGAAAGTTGGTTGGAGAAATCTTTGTTCATCTCAACCATCCGAGCTCTTTTTCTCGTTTCTGAAACAAGAGAGCGTTGTTAGATTTTTCTCGAGTCCAGAAGGCTAAGTTTTATTTACGTTGATCGCTTGTGCAGTTCAGTTAGGACRAAGACAGTGATGAGCGTAATGGCAACCAAAACGGAAGCAGCAATTATACCTGGGAACAAAAATTCAAAACCGTAAGTCTTTATCTACGGTTTCCCTATTTGTCAGTTCATTTTATTTATATTAAGTCTTCTTCATTTCCAGAGATTCTTCCGAAAATTGGAAAGCAAAGCTGAATATTCCCGATAAAGACAACCGTATAAAGACAACTGTAAGTTTTAGCWCACGATATCTTTCTTCGTTGGCATTGACGTTTCTTGAATAACACAGCACTGGTGACAATTTCTCCAATGTTTCCATTAATCCTTACAAAATATCTTGTCTATAATTTTCTATAATTATATAATTTTTGCTAATGTAAAATCAAAATTTTGATATGATAAGAAATTAAAGGAAATAAGATTGATGGTATCTTTTGTTGTACTCTAGCAGGAACTTTGGTAGCTATCTCCTCGCTATTATCTTAGAGTTTAGTAAGAACAATAAGCATTTACCGTGTGTTATTCTCAAAACAATGTCAGCAGTGAAAACGGATCGAAATGCGTGTTGGTCCTTGCTTTATGCAAATTCGTGTCATTCATCAAAATGTTTTACTTGATTGTTTTAGTTATGTGATTTTAATAAACATTAAAAGGATGCTTTAACATAACTTATTAGTGCATGTTTCACAAATGTTAAAAATGTAGTTTAACTTGAGTTGTACTAAGGGTGCTCATAAGCAAAAAAAACGGTTCTCTTCTGCGAATCCTATACACTTGATTACATTCTGATAGATAGGTTAACCCCCCCTGAATTGTGGCCACTGAAATCAGGTTTCCCAAAACCATCAAAACCTGCTTTTGATTGCTCCCTTATTACTGAACTTCTGTTGTCATGTTGGGTTTTATTTTATTATTGTTTGTCCATTGTTTTCTAAATGAATCATGAGATTTGTTACAATTGGTTTGTCATGACCCCAATAGTCTTACTTTATGCAAATTAAAAAAACAGTAAGTGAGAAACTTATTGATCGTTTTCACCCATTCCCATGAGATTCAAAAGATAAAAGACAGGCGGCCATGTTGGAGGAATGAAMAATAGATACTAATGAGAAATCCTTTGTTAAATTTCCTCCAAGATGGCCGCTGTGACCTGCAAACCAAGAATTGCTCCCTAAACGATAGATGATCCCCTTGAACTAACTAGGCACCTGTTGGGATCTTTTATTATGTAAATGATTGGGTTTTAGAAGTAAGTTTGCAGTGCAAACTTGTGACCAGTGATACTTAATTCACATTCTTTTACTACTCAAATTCTAATTGAAAGTTGTTTTTATTTAAGCTTGAAAAGCAATTTATCAGATATATTTCTAATAATAACAATGAAGYGAATGTTATGAATGATTTTATTTCTAAGAAGTGATGATCATCCTTTTTTTCTTAGGATGTAACTGCAACTAAAGGAAATGAATTTGAAGATTATTGCTTGAAACGAGAACTACTTATGGGGATATTTGAGAAGGGCTATGAAAACCCATCTCCTATTCAAGAAGAAAGTATCCCAGTAGCCTTGGCTGGGAGAGATATTCTGGCCAGAGCAAAGAAYGGCACTGGAAAGACTGCTGCATAYATGATTCCCCTCTTGGAAAGGATTGAAACKGCACAAAATGCAATTCAAGGTAAGACCATGGGTTTTTACTAWTTTGTATAGATTTTRCTTTTTTTCTGATACTTGGGTGGAGATTCATRCTAAATACTCCTTTGGGGCYGTTTRCACATTTTGTGACTTCAARAWWYAATATATGCCAAATTGTCATCATTATCTTGGGTGACTTTCAGCCCTGATTTTGGTTCCTACAAGAGAACTTGCTTTACAGACATCACAAGAGTGTAAAGTTCTAGGCAAACACTTAGATGTACAGGCTATGGTAACAACTGGTGGRACAAGCTTGAAAGAAGACATTATGAGATTGTATAACAAAGGTAACAAAATAGACATTATTCCTCACAAAACTAATAATGATATCATTTCCCACAACRTCCTGTTATATTGTCTTAAATAATGCGTATAATTAACATAACAAAGAGCTAGATTTTTACCATATACAGTACAGCAGCATAATAAAGGATATTCATTGAATGATTGTGAAATAGGATAAATTTTGCACTGTAAAAAGTCAATAAAATAATTTATTGACATTTTGGATGATTTTTTTTTGCAGTTAATGTAATAGTAGCTACTCCAGGACGTATTCTAGATTTGATGAAGAAAGGCTTAGCTGACATGTCCAAATGTAAAATACTAGTGATGGATGAGGTATGCTCTTTTTTAGCACTAGCTGAGGTTGATTTCAATTTTTCATATATTATATGTAACTAAAAACTATTTACACTCTCTCTTGCAAGAAACATTTTTCAACTAAAACTTCAAATCATCTGAACAATCAAAATATACTRTTAGGAAAACKTATGTTTGAAATATTTTTGTCTTCAGGCGGACAAACTACTCTCAATGGATTTCAAAAACCTTCTTGAGGATATCATCTCATATTTGCCAAGCAACCGACAGATTCTATTGTACTCAGCCACATTTCCTGTTTCAGTGAAACAGTTTAGAGTAAGTGATAATTAAAAGGTCATGTATTATGCAACAACATTATTAATTTTCTTTCAATGTCATTTGTATTTTAAAATCCATTTTATGTATAGTTTAAACACAAGAGAGAGTGTTTTATCAGGTATAATATTTTTTTGATTAAACACAATCACAAGTGTTGGAAATGGCTTCAAAACTAATTTGAAACTCAAACCTGTTAATATTAAGGTCCATTGAATTGAYATCTTGATGTTATTTTACAGGACATTCATCTTATGAAACCGTATGAAATTAACCTCATGGATGAATTGACATTGTTTGGTGTTACCCAGGTATTTATTTCTTACAAACATCTCTTTGAAATTCAAAATGCCAAAAGAAATAACAGCCATTTATGAACAATAAATGCCCTAGATGAATAAGTTTGATTAACTAAGCCATTCCTTGATTATTCAACCAATGATGATTTTCTGTTTTAGTACTATGCATATGTGAAGGAAAAGCACAAAGTTCATTGCTTGAATACTCTTTTTAACAAGGTGAGATGGAAAGTTAATAATRTATTGTTTATTAATAAATGACATCTATCAGTGAGAGAGTATACAAAAAGAAAACTAACAATGAAATTACTAATATATATCATATTATCACATTAGTAAGATTAATYATTTATTTAAAAAYTGGCTTGTTTTTCCTTTTAATCCAGCTTGAAATCAACCAAGCCATTGTGTTCTGCAATTCAGTAAAACGAGTTGAACTGCTTGCCAAGAAGTTGATAGAATTAGGATATTCTTGTTTCTATATCCATGCACGTATGGCACAAGCCTACAGAAATAGAGTATTCCATGATTTTAGACAAGGACATTGTAGAAACCTGGTGTGCTCAGGTAATTATCATAATGATATTTGTGATCTTAGATAAAAGTTATTGATTTTGTTRAATAATTGAAAGTGGACATTTGCACAGCTATTTAAATGTACAAGTTAGAAAGTACATTTTGGTCTTAATTTGTTCCGTGCTTGTGAATATCTGTTCTGTTTTGACAATAGGTATTCAGGAATAATTTCATKTTTGTTTAAACAGATCTTTTCACCCGTGGTATTGATGTGCAGTCTGTTAATGTGGTTGTGAACTTTGACTTTCCTCAAAACGCTGAAACATATTTGCATCGTATTGGACGTTCTGGTCGCTTTGGACACTTAGGTCTTGCAATTAACATGGTCACTGAGGATGATGAAGAGGACCTCTGCAAAATTGAAAAGGAACTTGGAACAGAAATCAAACCCATTCCATCAGACATTGACAAGAAACTGTATGTAGCTGAGTATCAACATCAACAAAGACTTCAACAAGCAGATGGAAAATAAAACAGCTTGAAGTTCTACATGGTAGGGTACTTATGGGTTTATACTATAGATTGATTGCTTTCATTTAGTAGAAGATAAAAGAAGTAAAGTGACGACTTTAGTGCTATGAAGAGGAAATATGTAATGTATACAGGGTAAAGGGCATATTGCTTATCAAGGGTCTTTTATATGCATGTTCTGAACACCTAACATCAAAATATTCTTGTATTGCTGAATGCTTCACATTGTGTTTGAGAGAACAGAATTGTGAATTAACACAGGCTATGACAATATTAATTGGACTGACATAACAAAATGTGAGGCATTAGGTATATTCCTGTAAGCATATTTTAAAGTAAGTTAATAAACTAAAATTTCATTTACTGATAAACCCTCCTAAACCCCATAAGTTCCTACTTTGTTGTAGGTTTTCCAGTTTGTTGTTAGTACTACTAACCACCAMCAATATGTAAAAATGTTGCATATGGATGGTTCAAACAGTTAAATTATTCTCCTGATATTCAGAAGATTTTCATATTTTGTACGTTAATGTTTGTAAAGCCCAGATTGAAAAATGTTGTCCACGCTGCTTGTCATTTAAATGGTGATTTTTGTATCCATAGACAATGCAAGGCATCATAAATGTTAAAAAAAGGTTGCCTTTCTTGGCCAACATTTTTCATGTATTAGTGTTTGTGGGTTAGTATAGTGGTAGGTGAGTACAGAAACTCAAGCATGTTGKAACRTATGACCATCATCTGTGCCTGATGGTGATGTTTAAYGAACATTACATCATTATGTTTCAATGTACCTGTGATTTTCTGGATGGCTTGGGAAACTGCTAAGAACAAATTCACTGCAAAAACTGCTACTTTTTTGGGCAAATAAATGTTGTAAAACATTTCCAGTGCAATGACCAATTTATTTCATCTATAGTTTGAATATCTTAAGAAGATGAGCAYACTAAGTGTCGGTATGAATCCTATCAACAAGTTTCATTTCTTTAAAAGTAGCAGTTTTTGACTGGGTATGATGGAAAAGCTCATTTAGAATCAATGCTTGATTGTTATGCTCCAACAAATTGCAAAAAATCCTTCTCTCACAAACCAGTGTCAAAGAAAAGAAAATTARATGATTAACCAGTAATSAGCAGGGTGATCCAAGAGAACATAATGACATTCTATGTCCAGAAGATAACAAAACAGCACACTGGAGGTCAGCAATAATGAAGATTGACGTTGAAACAGAAAATATACCAAAATAATAATGATTAATCCATTTGAGGACCTGTTTACCAGCAAACTTATAAGAAAACCTGGTTTACTGTCARGATTACAGAGCCTGTAAAACACTTGTCACTATTGGTAAAACAATGACAAAAGATGGTACAGTGAATACTATGTTTTTGAAATCTTACAAACCAAGAATTTACYAGATGATAAAGAAAAAACATTCACTTAAGTTGAGAACTGAACCATAAAATCAACCAAAGTGAGTATGGACAAGGTATACATTTCACAACGTCATGCAAAAACGCCATCACAACCCAAAAAGGTCAACAACACATCATGTCTACAATAATTGGATAAAATATACAATGCATCAGGCTTGTCATTCCTTGCTAAATAAAGACTGCAGAATTTGAGGTGGACCAAGATAAAAAACAATTGAATATGGACAAGAAAAGTGTACAAAGCCGTACTAGTGATAGGATAGTCAGGTAAAGACCACCTAGGAACAATACATTTACAAAGTACAATGAAGAACACAGGGTGACAAGACAAATCCATTTATTGAATCTGCTTGAAACTTCATAAAATTTGAACTTCAAGCATTGCTGCAAAGTATTTGACAAAAAACTGTCTTCCTGTTGAGCTTTTCCATCATACCATCCGAGGTTCTGATTATTTATTTGCAATGAATAAAAATGTACATATGTAGATATACAAAGAAATTGTAAGTAGATAAAAGTTTATTTTCAAATCAGTAGCTAGTGTTTGTACAACAAGATCAAGTGGGTTGTTATACTGGAAAGTGATTCTCTATCTAGCTGTTGMTCTTTACTGATTGGTGGGCTTTTCTTAAAACTACAAAGTTCATGTTTCATCAGATATATGCTCAGTTGAATAATTCTCTGATACTTTTCCTGTAATTAGATTTTTGTCACAAAGTGACAAGGATAAGATTGATGGTAAATTGTTACTGTCGCAATATAAATAAATCAGTTGTTTAGTATAGAAGATGCAAAGAGTTTTGCTTTCCAATATTGCAACCCATTTCAACAGAAACAAGACCATGAACAGAAGTTACTTATATACAAGGTCATCAATTAAGCATAAAAACTTAGTAAAATGTTGCTTGCCACTTTTTTTCAACTTACCTTTTTATGTAGGGGAGATGCAATATATCCATGCAGCAAAATTCCAAATATATTGAGTACTAATAAATTGCACAATTTAGTACAAACAACAGCGTAAACTCCTGTCTTTGTTGGTGTTGTTTGTAATCAAGTAAACTGTTAGTAATGTTGAGAATGAGAATGTGAATAATACTATTAAGTGCAAATAAGTGGAAKCATGGATCTATGGTATTTACTCTATATAGAAAGAAAGATTACAGATTAAGCATAAATTGAGGAGCTTCATATCAAAGACTGGATCGATTTAAAGTCAATAGTTGTGTTATGTGAATTGCCTTGAGATGCAAGAGATCTCTAATCCTGAATTCTTATTTAGTAACTTCTGTTCTTTGTCTTCATGCAAGCTTTCCAGTTATTATTGGAAATGTATTGTTGCAGTTTGTTATTTCAATATTCTTGGGATCATGTTCATTGTGGACAGATCTTAGACAACACTGCAAACAAARACCTTGTTAAGATGTTAAGTATTGTATGTACTCTGGGTATGGCAGTTGCAAGTCTGCTTATGTTTAGCATATATAATGATTACCATCTTAGACTTACCAGAACTATTCAGAAGTTGTAWTAAGGCTAAAGATCATAATGTTTTCTTTTGGCTTATTACAGACTTGATAATCTAGTAAGGTGTCTGGAGTACAACATGAGACCTTACTGGCACATTATTTTTGTACAATTCCAGAAGGCATGGGACATGAAATGTTCATGCTAGATAGATATATAATACACAATTGTACCTTAACAATGTAAAAGATTACATATTAATGTCTACAGATGCCAACATACTTTCAGAGAGACTTMAGTGTAAACAATGACTATGAGAACCTAAAGGTGATCGGACTATRTTAACTTTTCACAGACCCTACTCTTACTCTTATCCCATAATTAAGACACTCCTGAATGTCATTGTTTAACAACTAGAGTTACATCTTTGTAGATTGCTAAGTAATTGCTTTTATATTGCTAAGGCAACAAGCGATGAAAGAATTCATTTAAGAACATTGACTTCTTACACATTCAAAAGCCCATTCATACATATATGAAAGATTATGAACATTATTACCAATRCAAGTATAGTTCTCATGTCAGTTTTATTCAATAACTGAAACCTGTAGAGAAATGATGCAATTTTCACAGGTATTTTTCTAGAAAACTAATATCAGAATTATATGAGTAGCTTATGATTTTTTTGAAAGAGAATAACTGATCCATTTTAAGGAATTGTAGATTGTGAGTGTTACAATTTAGAGTACACATGTATTCAAAGGGAAATTTGAMCARYTTTAAAGAAYTGGCACTATATTTTGCACTAGAAAATGCTATTTTTAAAGTGGGTCAGTTATGTAAGAAAGCATTAGCTACAGGTCTTCTTAGACTACGTTCATSAAAGAAAACTCATTCAGAGTGGGCCAATCACTACAGCCCAAAKAAACAGAAAACATTAGAGAGGTTTAAGATTAACAATGTCTTGTCTTCAATCAAAGAAGAGGGGTTTCTTTAAACTCCATAGGAAATAATCATTTGAATTCCATCTGATTGCAAAAATGATTAAATTATAGTATTATTTCCTTTATGAGGGAGAGCAAATGTGTGCAGTAGTACAAAATAGCAATGAATTTAGAACGTTTTACCCTCAATTAGYTCTAAACATTATATTGCACACTTATTTGTTATTTTAAATAACTTGAAAAAAATATTTATTTTTCCCTTAGGTAAAGTAATTGAGATGAATTAGGATGTATTTTACTAATTGGGATCTGTTGGAGTGATTTTAGTTCATGTTAACTTCTTTAGTATCTATTGCATTGAAATCTTTTCATTTTTTTAAAATTTTTTAATGTAGTAAAACAAGTGTTTTTTTGAAATGAAATAAATTGAATTACTCTAAATACTAAGTGCTAAGACAAACAAATGTTATACAAACATTAGGTAAAGTCACTCCTAAAAGAACTCGACATATAAAACAAAGGTTTTCCAGGGTTTGCACCTGCAGTAGTACATCCTTTTCATTGAACTCTTTGAACTCAAGAACATCAAAGAGAAACGTTCTTTTGCGTTGCTTGAGCGCATTGGAACCTAAGTTTCTTGCTAGTGAGAACTGTAGCAAGCTATCAAGCATCAAATGTCTTTAAACAGATAGTCTGGTGAATAGCTTTCTCAAGTAAAAAAACATGTGAGAACTAAATGCTTTCTGTTTTAGTACAATATTGATCTAAAACAGAAGGCATTAAGTTGTCTTTGTCCACCAAAGACAGAAAAACTTTTTTAGTTTAATTTGTATGGATTGACAAAACACATTCACTGTGTATTGTTGTAGATTTGTGCTATTTTGTGGTGTAATTAGCTGTGACAATTGTCACAATTTCCCTTGTGTTATTCGTGAACAACAAAACATTTTGCTAATGTACTTGTTGCTTAATGAAAAACAGTCTTTTGGTTTAATTCATTTATAGACAGAAGCACTTGGTTTTCTGTAAACTGTTCTTAGCCAATGTACTTGTTATGTGTTGTAAAAGTTGTCGTAACAAAGTCAGTTTTTTTCTTTGTTTAATTACTCATATTGTCCTGTTAATGTAATGTTACAGTAAATGTAGAAGGTAATGTTTGTATTCAGAGAAACCACAAATAAATACTTCGTTATAAGTTCACTGATATCAATTCAGTAATGTTAAAMTGTTGAGGATCTTGGTATTCATTCTTGTCCAAACAAAATGCATTTAGATTTGAATTGGATTTTTTTTGTGATTTACAATTTTCTACAGTTAGATTTCCACATGTTCAACATTTAGTTAGAGAAATGTATTTCTGATGCATCCAACCAATAAAGTTTGGTGGGTGTGGATTAATGACTTGTGGTCAAAACTTGTGGAAATGATGTTTTTGATCAGAAATAAAGCTTGCTTAAAATAGTGTTGTCTAATGACAAATACACTCCAGTTTATTATGATAGAAATAGGAYCATACCAATGCTGTTTCTTCAAGAATTGTGTACCAATGAGATTTTTAATGTCAATGTCGTGAAATGTTATGTTATGTAAAAAAATATCAAAATCACCATCAAACATCCTCTAGTTAGTTGTCTTAATAGAGTGATTTTCCATGGATTTAAAGAAAAAGACTAGCTTTGGTAGTACTACGGTATGAAGGAAAACAATGAGTTTAAAGTATACTACCTCTATAAGCTTGTTTATTTTTTCACAGTTCATGATGGAAAGTAACTCTTATGTACTGTAGTTTTCCTGTGAAATACTGGTAATGTATATTGTACACTTATTGTGAGTTCTAGTGCACATTACACTTTGTTTCACAGGTTTAGGACTTTTCTATTAACCMACCCATGAAAAGGAGAAATAATAAAATGATGTCAAATATTAAACAATGAAAAATGAGACTCAAATGAGTCTTATATAATTCATACATAATGCTATGATCACAAAGTTTATTCAGATGTTTATTGAACTCGGTTTACTGTATACTTTTATTTTCCACACAACTTTGCTAAAATGATATGCCTTTGTTCAAATTAAAATGTAGAATTGTTATAAACATTGACCATGAAAGTACAATGACCTTCAAGTCAGTACTAGTTAAATAATTAACTCAACAKAAGAAAAAAAATAAATCCTTGTGATGTCCACTAGAAGCCTTATTAATATTCTTTCATGGTCAAAGGAAAATAACTATTTTTTAGTCTGTCTAATTCCCAACACCAAATGTAGTAAAACAATCTATTATTAGCAATAAAGTTTGAATGGTGAAAAGTTTTGTTTCCTTAATTATTTTTGTTTGTTTTTTTTAGGGAGAGGGGGGAGGGGTACTCCCTTACTCCCTTTACGGGTACGTACCGCCAACCAGGGTATTGTTTTCAGTGGTTTTACTCTGGAACAGGCTATCATTTTTAGTGATTTTACCCTGGAACAGGATATTGATTTCAACAAATTTTCTCTGGAACAGGTCAGCGTTTAATTCCAGAATTATTGATGCTGGGTAAAAATTCACGGGGTAAAAATTCGGTCTACGATTYGGTCAGCGATTCTACTCTGGAACAGGGTATAGGTTTCAGTGATTTCACTCTGGAGGAGGGTCAGGTGATATCAGGTATCTGGTATCATTATGTTGGGTAATCTGATAAGTCAGATTACCCAGCATAAGCTAAGAACAGGAAACTAGCAATGAATGGATCAGTACCCAGTCCATAGATAAGATTTACATTTGCTTTATGCCCCTGCCCTACATTGCACCACTTTCTGAAATGTGTGTTTTGCTTTACATTTTTTCCCTCAAACCTACTGTTCAATAAACTTCTCAAAATAGACCTTAATTTCAAAGAAAGTTTGTRAAGCTCACAAGTAGAGTGTCCTGACTGTAATGGGGAAAACCAAGAAGTGGTAGAAGTTAACCATCTATACTATGTCCACAACATTGGGTCAATACATTTCATAGGTTTCTGTTCACATGACAAATTATGACTCTTCAAGTTTCCTTGCCAGTTTGTTTAGCCTGACTTCTGCCTCAATGAATGGGAGACTTTTAAAATGTGTAGGAGGTATTCGCACCTGGATTGTTTTATCTTCTCTACTTAAACTACAATGTTTAAACATATAATAGCCCTCCATTGTCCCAGTTGGTGTTTGAAATCTTGTACAACTGACATATTCATGAAGAGCGCCAGGTGACATCACAGGGTACTGTCCAATCACCCCCGCACCATGGACCTCAGTCTTATCACCAYTACCATCAGTTATGTACCAATCCCTGGTTGTTAATTGGTATTTCTCTCCCTGTACAAACAAGATTCATATTGATAAAAATGCACCATTTTAATTTTAATAAAGCAAAGCATCATTACTTACCGCTGGGCAATCTTTGTCCATTGATATTGAAATACGATAAGTAAAAAAGAATGATGGTGGATGAACACTGCTCAACTCGGGTAAGAATGCTGTGGTTGTTTTCACTGTTATCCCATGGGTAGTTGCAGAAGCAGCATATTCAAACTTAAATATTTCCTTGTTTATAACAGGGTAGTAATTCTGTGATAGTCTTTCTGCATACTCAGTAATCCAGTCTGTAAAGGAGCATGCAGTGTGGAACTTGTGCATTTTAATGACAGGTACTTCATCATCATCCACAAAAGGACAGCGGTCTGGACTTGGCCAGAACATCTCACCAGGTGTATGACCTTCATGGTCTGTTAATGCAATAAACTGACCATTCCCAGTAAATATACACAATGATAAAACTAAACAGTTTTGAAGACCTTCCCTCTGTTGTAGACCACTTGATGCTACACTGAGATCAAGCAATGATTCACTCTGATAGTGATTGGAGATAGCCATTGAACCAATCAAACCTGGACTCACTAGTCTCTGTCCATTGTGAATACGATAAGAACACTGTACATCAAGGGGAAGTTTTAGCCCTGTTGTTACAAATGATACATGTTATAGGTACATTACCTCGAAAATATACAGATATTGTACTGAATAACAATGGTACTGCAATTGTATTCCAATACTGAACAATTTCTGGTTTTATGCCAATAGGAACAATGCATTTCAGTATTGCATTACACCAGTTTGTCAGAAATGACAGAAATAGCTCTATAAGAATGCAAAATTCAGTTTAAAAAGGAAAGTTATTCTTATTAAAACTAAATTTTAAGGAATATACCGAGTTTTCGGTTGAATAAAGSTTTTGGTTCTGACCTTTCAAATGACGGTGACATATCCTYTCGATTTCTTCTTCATTTAATCCAGGATTCAGTGACCCATAAATCTGAGGACAATGTTTTTCTGTAAATTCTTCGATTTGGTTCCAAGCTCTGCGTATTGCAGTATAGCAATCTCCATATTTGCCCCATTTCTTAGACTCCTCGGCATAAGCATCTCGCCACGCTCTGTTGGGAAGAGATTCAGTCGTATCYAAAAGCCAGACGTTTTTACACCATTTCTTCCATGACAATAATGACGAACCTATCTCGTTAAATTGACGATTTACACAACAGCAACGCGATAAGTCTTTTGGATTTAAATAGGAGAATATATTAGCGAGAGGAATGTCTGGAAGCGATGAAAGACCTATCACTTCTTCTCTGCTAGTATCGGTCGCCATCTTGCATACCTAGTACCACTCCATTTATCAAAACAAAGCACAGGAAACCCAAATAGTCACTTCGGATTCATACAAGTTCAACTGTTCAATATAAAGTTAGTTAATTGCAAGAATTGAAAATCTTTATTGTATCAAATTTTGAGTCATGCAGAATTTTTCTTTATAAGTTTACATTCAATTTTCGAACATGGAAATTACTGCATGTGAACCATAAGCAAAAACAAAGGCAAATAATTCTAAAAGAAAGGGTAAACATACTTAGAATGAAATATGAATTGAAAGGAAGAAAAATAATAATAGACCAATTGGTCATGTGAAAAAAATTGACCTTCACTTTCAGACCTTTCAAATAGTTCAAATAAAATTGGCTCTTGCTTGGGTTTCCTYTACAACTTAGGACGTGATAGACTGGTGCTTTCATTTAAAATGGCGAAGTGAAGGTCACTTCCTTGTACGAGTTTTTTTTGTTTTATATCTATTACAATTCAAGTCATTTTTAATTTTTCGTGACCGGGATGGATTTKACTCTCTTAASAAACTGTTTGCTTGGTATAATATGGAGCTTTGCTGCTTTGACAAACTTAGATAATTGTGTTTCGTGTGTGAAKCTTCCATACCAAAARGTTACTTTCAACGAAACTGTGTTTGGAAATGTTTCAAAAGACAACGATAACTTRTGGATGTACGAGTATACACGACAGAAAGGCATTGTAAGTTTCTTTATTATATTGCTTCTTATAGATAACAAGAGATTATTTAGTTTTGTATTCGCAGGTCTAATGTTTGTTTACATGGCATACATTAGGTCATAAATATGCATCTATTAGATACAACCAGCTGATATCTTGCAGCATCATGTCGTGATGTATATAGTTAGCTCTCATACAAGATTACATATAAGATAACCTAAATACCGTAGTATTCAATTTTCCTATTATCCTATCACAAAATAACATAATATTACTTCCGACATATTTACTTCACTATAACGGCAGGCTTGCTCTTTAAAGTATTTCCATCCATAATAACAACGTTTGCCATACATTTGTTTTGTCACGCACATAGCTGTTGTTTATTTAAAATATTGTACATTGATAATGGACATTCTACATAGATTCAAGCTGTTCGTGTTCAAGTTTCTAGTGAATTAGCAAAAGAGGAAAAYCCCCTGGTCATAGTAGCTAGACTACAAAAGGGAGTGTTGTCATGGGCTATTCCTTTGATTTCTGAAGGAGGGTGAGTAAGAAGATGTTGAATGGTGTAATATATGAAAATRATATAAAGATATGAATATATGAGGACCGCATGGCACTATTATAGACACGATATAGAAATGAAAGAAAGTTATAGTGCTTAGAATTTATTCTTTAGGGTCTTTCTCCCGGAATTGCCTCCTTCTTAGCACTATAATTTTTTTTCATTTCTTTATGATGAAAATAATAACCAAATATTATATAATTTCAAGTGGAGAAGACTGGTTGATGTGCACTTATGACATATTTTGCTTCCTGAAATTCAGCCTGGTTATTGCAGTTAAAGGAATGTCAACAAGAATAACATCTTCAATATTGAATGAAGACCAAATTAATGAATRACACTACCAGGTCCACCTGATTCTTTTGATGAATGAATATTTTGTTCCTTGGTTTACAGGGAAAAGCAAGTGTATTCAAGTAGGACACTTTGTCCAAGTTTAGAGAGTACTATTTCTCAGAATGTTTCAAAACAGTATTTCCATGTTCACATTGCATCAACATCTCCARCTGAACCTGTGAAATACACACTGAAAGCATTCTTTGTTAAGAACTTTGAAATGAGGTGAGCTTCTAAATACCTTTATGTAAGAGAGATGTAATGGTTCATTTGATAGTACATCCTGGGATTGTATATTCATTGGTCTGGTTTGATGAATTGGAAACACTTTTTGCTTTATACAAGACATTGTGCATTTTCATTCATAGATGTCTAGACAAAATGCAATGAATTATTTTTACAGCTACTCAAACATTTTTTGATTTACTTAGCTTGAATCGYCCATCTCAATTTGATGTGGATCCAGCTGGTCCAATGGTAATGTACTTGAACACATAATAAAAAAAGATTGCACAATTTCATTATCAAGAACATGCACCAATCTTGTGTGGACTGAGGGGACAAATGAAACGAAATATCAGATGKAGACACTTGATGCAGTATTGCATGAATTTTCATTAGCTTCTCAATCTTTTTTTTTTCATTTTTTCTTTCATTTTATCAGTATAAGGTATTCCGATTCACTGGCAACACAAAGAGTGTCAGAGTAGAAGCCCTGTCTAATAGCAGTTTCTGTACTATTATTTCTATACAGAAGTCTCAGGTAACACATATTACATAATGTGAGAATCTTATCCATATCGTTGAAGTTTATTTTTATTTTCAGTATATAATCTCATTAATAATTAAGTGYGTTATATATTTGGTTATAACTCCTATTAGTGTCCTGTGTATGACCTGGCAAGGAATATAGAATTTACAGGTTACTATCAGACTATGACAAAAAAGGCAGCAATTACTATTCAGGTACTGTACAAACTTCTATAGTCAGGCACTAACTACCATTTTGGTGTGTTGCTAATGGCATACTACAATATTCCAGAAAAATGACATGGATCAGTTTTACATTGTTGTCATTGTCAAGTCAACTGATGAAGAATGTCAATCTGGACATAGGAGTGCAAATCCTATTTCCCCAGAATCACAAAGAYTCAATGAACTGCAAGGTGAATTAAATATACTTTGTAAACATTAGTCCCTATTTGTGCTCTTATATGGTGTATTTTCTCTTAATACCTGGTAACCTTGAATAATCAAACCCAGGTTAAAAAGCCCAACTGGCAAGTGTGGAAACCACTGGATTGTATTTATGACTTGAGTTTCTACCCATGGCATGAATCAATGTTACCGTTTTCATTTCAGCTTCTTCAACAGTAACACCTGGCTTTATWATTTCTCGTAAGAAAATTGTATCAATAAAGATTGTTGAAGTTGAGTCAGGTAGTGTGGATTTATCTAGTAATTTGTTATGCAATCATAAAAGCAGTGCAATCTTTCAGTGTGATTTTTTAAACTATGTATAAAGCAATGATATTGATGCTGCCAATATTGACACATCCTTGATTATAATTGTTTTTGCTAATTTCTTATATTAATGGCTGCAGTAAAGTGTCTTTTTTATGTCATCAACAGTTGCAGACCATGTCAGTGCCATCATGTTTCCTATCATTGTATTTGGCCTCTTTTATCTCACAACATTCATATTTATTGTTGGCAGTTGGTGCAAGTAAGTATTGATTTCATTATTATAATTGCAAGTGAGTAATGTACCCACATTGTGACTGTGAATTTATAGATAAAATGTTGGTACCAAGGTTTGATAAACACAATCTGAGACATGGGTTGAAAGTTGACCATACATTATTGAGTTTTAAAACCCACTTGAGGTGTTTTGCTTATACTTGTGTTTGTTCTGGCTACAWTTATTCACAAGATATTTYCCTGACATGAAATTTGGTCATGTTGTTATATTTGTTTATTCTAAGGCAAAGAGGTCTCCCAGGAAAAAGTTTCTTGGCAGTATTTCTGCCAAAGAAAACAAGGTCTACAGAAGAAGATGATGGTAAAAGCATTATAATCATAAGATCATTACCATGATTAACACTCTGAGGATAGTATTGTTACTAAGGTGTTATCATAGTTGTCGCTAAGGTGTCACTGATTACAATGTACATTATCTTTGATACTTGTTATGTTGATAAATCAAATTTAAGTCAAGTTWRCCAAGTGAACTGTTTTGTAGACAATCCTGATGTGACATTTCTGATAAATGAGCCATCATCRTCGCTGAAAAACCGCAATCAATATGGATCATTTACTAAGGGTATGAAGTTTATAATAATTTTTTTGATTTTTTGAAGTAGCCATAAAGTCCTTGTAACTATGTAAGTATTTAATGATAAGTTGTACAACGATTTCAGTTGTTCATGGTACAGAAAGTTCTCAAGTCAAGGAAACAGAAATGAAAGAACATGACCATGGTGGTGATAGTCATTCTGGTCCCTCAACAGAACTACTTGGTGGTGAATACGATATGCTGAATGACCTTGAACATGAGAAGGACATTTATAGACTTAGAGTTAGTAAACTTTGTTCATTGACATCCAGTGCAACTCACCATTAATGAATGAATGAAAGAATGATCAATTGAAGAAAGAAATYACAAATGAATGTTAAATAACGAAGAATAAGACTTTGATGTACAGGTTAATATATAATTAAATTTGTGCTTTTAGACGATTGTAACTCTAGCTGACCTGACCAAGAAAAATCCCAAATACCTAAAGAAGAAATACAAATTATATCACTGGTTAGTAACCTTTGATAAATCACTATATAATGCTGGTTTTGGCTCTAGCATTCATTAGTATCTCCCTGTACTGCGTCGGTATTCATTGTTTATGTGTTGTGTTTCCAGGAATTTAATTGTAATTGCTGTATTTTACACTCTACCAGTACTTCAACTGGTCATAACATACCAAAATGTAAGTCAATATTTTTTGTAGTTRTATTGTGAATATTCAATTAAACAATTTTTGACATTAACACAAATTATTAGACAAACTATTCAATGCTTTACTAATAATTTTGTATGCATTTTAGGTATTGAAATCCAGTGGAGATGAAGATATTTGTTATTACAACTTCTTTTGTGCCTAYCCATTTGCATTTCTAAGGTAGTGAGCATGTCGTTTGTGGTTTATTAAGATTTGCAAAATCATCTTTCATTTTACTTTCCACTTTTTTCTTTGTGTATGCTAATATTAATCAATGTTATTTCAGTGCTTTCAACAATGTATACAGCAATATTGGTTATATTCTATTGGGTCTKCTATTCTTTTTCATTGTCCTAAGAAGGTATTGCCTCTGTGTCCCTGTGATATATTGCAAACATTTRAAAAGATCAAGTTAGTTGAAAGTTGTATRATTACTTTTTGTGTACTTTTTTTGCAATTGCAGAGATCGACTTCACAAACAATTAGTAGCTTCAAAAGATTTGCAAGAAAAGGTAAGACACAGAATCTGTGAAATCAAGGAGTGAATGTAGGATGTTGATGGAGTTACCCCCTTACTGGGTGTCCTACTCCACTCCTTGAAGAAAATCCTGGATTCACCTGTAATATCAAAGGACCTTAAATAACTTGAATTGTGTTTTTCTAGCATTGTGGAGTTCCAAAACATTATGAGCTGTTCTATGCCATGGGTATGATATTTGAATTATTTTGAATGAAAACAACAATCTAACATATATGAAAAATATTGAGGTCTGTTTGTTGTTTTAGCAATGGCCCTTGTAATGGAGGGAGTGCTGAGTGCATGCTACCACATTTGTCCAAACAACTCAAATTTCCAGTTTGGTAAGTTTAATTGTGAAAAAGCATAGATTATCATGCAAGTAAGAGAAATTGCACAAATGTGTGCTGAATTTTACTAATTTCTTTGTTTCCTCTCCAATCAAGTATTAGTATTATTCATTTGTTTCTTTTCTTAGATACTTCTTTCATGTACATCATAACATGTCTTAGCATGGTGAAAGTCTATCAGATACGTCATCCTGACATTGTTACCAGTGCACATAGAATCTATGTGTTATTTGCTGGCATCATACTCATTGCTGTCATTGGTGTGGTGAGTTTGATGTTGTATAATTCTCATTGTATTAGACCCTGGTATAACACTTCAATCATCCAATGGATCTTTGTAAATTTTCAGCTCTTCAGTTCAACAACATTTTGGACTGTATTCTGTGTTATTTACATTGGTATATCTTTCTATCTAAGTCTTCAATTGTACTACATGGGACGAGTAAAATTTGGTAAGAATATATACATTATGTATTGTTCATTTTTCAGGTCTCTTTGCAATAATAATTATCGAGGTATTTTTTTCTTTTTAGATTCAGGAATGCTGGCAAGGATTTATATCATTATAAGATATGACTGTTGTGCTTGCCCTATTTACAAGGTAACGTTACTGTTCTCAATTCCTCCATGTSTTTTTTATCTAGAGTTCAGTCAAGTTGTATTTCTTCTTATTCCAGGACCGTATGCTACTTCTGCTGATTGCAAATGCTGTCAACTGGACTTTGTAAGTATCAGAACCCCAGTTGCAGATTTAGTAGAATTGTGTTATTTTAATTTTTTACTGTAAATTATGCACTCTTTCTAAAAGTGGGAAAAAACCTGATTKAGTTCCCTTCGTACTTATTTTTAATCTKTGGAGRTCATGATCGGATGGGCTTTGTTTTTTATAATTGATTGCTAACATGTGACACAAAGACAGTGCAAGATTATTTATTTTATCAAAGTAAAGCTAATTGAATAAAATAATGCAAAAATGAAATAATAAAGGATTGTGAGAATTGACAATTTTACTGTAATAGTAACAATCCATACTCCAAGAGCTGTTATCTAGTATAAATGTCAAGACCAGTTCAGTGGAATCAAATTGGGTTGAATTCAATTGCATTTACGATGAATTTACTTGCTGCTGGTGTACTTGGTGACCGCCTTGGTTCCTTCGCTAACTGCATGCTTTGCGAGTTCACCTGGAAGAAGAAGACGTACTGCAGTCTGTATTTCACGCGAGGTTATGGTAGATTTCTTGTTGTAGTGAGAAAGTCTTGCTGCCTCAGCAGCTATGCGCTCGAAAATGTCACAAACGAACGAGTTCATAATGTTCATGGCTTTGCTAGAAATGCCGGTGTCTGGATGCACTTGCTTCAGAACTTTATAAATGTAAATCGAGTAGCTTTCTTTCCTCTTTCTTGTCTTTTTCTTTTTGTCAGTCAAACTAGTTTTCTTAGTTGGTGCTTTCTTCTCGCCTTTCTTGACAATTTTACCAGACATGTTGAAGGACGTTTTGGCGCTAAACTTAAAGAGATTCCATCGAGAGTTCCTTGTCTTTTATGTATGAAATCAGCGGATCAATTTCGTATGCGGATTGAAAATACTGCGATTTGATTGGCTGGTGAGTAAACTTACTTGAAAGGAAACACAATTTCACTGCGGAATGTCATGAATTTTACATGTACTGAAATTTGATTGGTAGATTTCGATCCCTGTTTGGAGTATAAAAGCACATTTTTTTGTGAAACTGATGCAATTTGGAATAGCTTTATCCTGGAACATTATTAATATTTTGACGCCATGTCAGGCCGGGGGAAGGGAAAAGCGAAAGGAACAAAATCCAAATCGCGTTCTTCGCGTGCTGGACTCCAATTTCCAGTTGGTCGAATTCACCGACATTTACGTAAAGGAAACTACGCGACAAGAATTGGTGCCGGTGCTCCAGTCTACATGGCTGCAGTTTTAGAGTATTTGAGTGCTGAAATCCTCGAATTGGCTGGAAATGCCGCCAGAGATAACAAGAAAAGTCGTATTATCCCTCGCCATTTGCAGCTAGCCATCAGAAATGACGAAGAATTGAACAAACTTCTCGGTAGTGTAACCATTGCTCAAGGAGGCGTTCTGCCCAACATACAAGCCGTCCTTCTTCCGAAAAAATCAGAACAGAAACGTTTATAAGTCTGTAACTCTGGACAACCTCAGAGAAGAAATAAAACTTTATTGCCAGGCAGCATCGATTATTGCCAAATAATACGACATTTTAATGTGGGAAATATAGGCGATTTAAGTAATAGCACAAGTACTAACAAATTTATCATTTGGAACTTTCGTACATGTTTCTCTCAATTTGCAGAGTTTGTCTGTTAAAATATGTCAATGGCTCAGTAATGGTTATTAGCAAAGATATGTCGTTACTATGTCTCTTGTACATTTTGTGAATGTAAATAAAACACAGGAAACCCAACTTCCACTCAAATTTTTTAACATGACTTATTCACATGAAAAAATGTTTTATCCTATGAGTATCAGCCCTCAATTCTTGCTGCCTCTAGAAATTCTGGCAGCCCAGGCAAAAAATATTCTAAAATGATGAGTCTTAAAAAAATAAAAGAAATGAGAACTATGACTGGCCTTGCAAGTGTACAAAATCTAAGTAGTACTAATTTGTACTAAAAGTGGGCCGGCACATTGCGTACTGCATTCACAATTTACAAAATATAGCTAAATAGCAGTATTCAGTTGTACAGTTGCACGGTTTAAGTGAGATCACTCTGTCACTTCTATTTCTCAATAACTTGCAAAAAAGAATAATATAGCTTTGCTAAAGGTTTTTCTTGTTTTCAGTGCTATATGTGGTGTTATTTACCAGCCCAAGGATTTTGCTACATATCTCCTGGCAATATTGATAGTTAATGGATTGTTGTATGTTGGTTTTTATGTCATTATGAAGGTATTTAAGTTCACTAATAATAGATAACTAGAGGTGAAACATTGAAGTCACTGTGAGCCTAAATTGAATAAAATGCGGAGTGGATTCACTATATCTTGTTTTGTCCTTGTATTATGTATTTAGATTCGGAACAAGGAGCGCATTATGATGTTGCCGTTTGTGGTGTCCATTCTCTCCCTCATTTGTTGGATTGTTGCTTTGATTTTTTTCTTCCAAGAACTCACCTCATGGCAGGTCTGAGACTATTCATTTATTCTCAAACTTTATATTCATTTACTGTTCAATATGTTGAATCTTTTTATTTGCTGTCCATTTGCCAAACTGCTAGATAGCTAAAGCCTATTTTATTTTTAGAAAAGTCCAGCATTATCACGCGAAGGTAACAGAAAGTGTCGTTTATTGGGTTTTTATGATGACCATGATATCTGGCACCTGTTGTCAGCTACTGCAATCTTCTTCTCATTTCTGGTAAGTACATATATCTGTATATATCTGAATCAGGTCATTTTGGGCATGTTGGAGGTAGGCCCAGTTTTCAGCTTGTAGGATTTCATAGGTTGTAGTACTGAGCCTATGGATGGAAAGTTTTTCCAATAAGAAATATTTGCAAAAACACAAAATATAACTGTAGTAGATCAGTGGTAAATAAATAATTATATTGATGTATTTAGTTGTGATATTAGTGAATTCTTTAATTGTTGATCACATTATTTGCTCTTATGTACCATTCGCTAAGTAGCCTGAGTATCAGGGTCTCTCGAAGGGATTGGGGCAGAACAACAATCCCCTTCAAGAGAGTCTGATACTCAGGCTACTCGCTAAGGTATTTGTGTCTTTGATTTAAGGCTGTTCTAACCTTGGATGATGATTTAGAGGGAGTACCAAGGACTAGAATATCAGTTTTCTAGCAACAAGTCACTACAAAATGGTGCTGGTTTATGAGAGGAAATTATTCTAAACAGCTACTGGTAATTCAAAGTGATCAAATTTGATAAGATGAATTATTAGATGGAAAAAATTATGAATATTTTTCAGAGCTCAAATTTTGAATAAGAGAATATTTTGAAAAAAAGAGATGATAAAAGACAAAGAAATATAAAGTACAATAAAAAATCATCAATTTTTGGGAGCATTGATGGGTGAAATGGGAAAGATGAATTGCAACACTTGGGAATATCCAAGAATGTCAAAGAAGCCCTGCAAGATCAAATAATATATGTCTATATAGTTGTTGTGTTTACTGAAAATAAAGGTAATACAGTATAAATCTGCATAACAAGTTGATAAAAACAAAATGAAATTTGGTAAAACACAGTAAAACCTCACCTTATGGCCACCTGAACAGCCACTCTGATGTTCTGACAAATTAAACAAAAATTCATAAATGAGTTCTGTAAACAGGCAATGTCACTGTGAAAAGCATTCTAGATTATATGTGCCATTGACCTATATTGTAGAAATGGTTGCGTCATTTAAACATAACATAAAACTCAGGGATTGAAAAAACAGGGATTGAAAAAACATTTTATGCAAATGAGTTTTCTCATGTGTTCTCTATTTAGATATTATTGCTTGACTGAAGATAGCTACCTTTTTTTTGCTACCTTTTTTTTCTAGAGAGCTTTTCAACCATAAAATGGTGCTTGCTCTCAATTGCGGATTTTGACTGTGTTGCGATATTCCTATGGGGGTGGGGGTGAAGAAAATGTAAATAGGTCACTTCCTTTGTTTCTCATCCCGTTGCTCACTCCACTTGATTTTTAACTATAGTTAATAAGTCTAAACAAGTAATTTATAGGAACAGTTATGGTTATAATGTATTTTCAGATACTTAACAAAAAAAGGCACTCTAACAGGATTGACTATGATGGGTTCAGAAATAAAGAGATTTGTAGACAAATGGTGTATGTTGTCATAAAACCCTGCTCCACCCTCTAAAAGGTCACTCCCCGCTATTCACTTTGGCTTTGCTCCAAGATAACTACATAAGGCATTTTGATTTGAGACATGGTTGAAGTCGACTCTGAACTGGCCAGATTAGTGCACTAACATACATATTTTTTCTTTGTTTGTGTGTTCATTATTATTTCACTTTCATGCATTGGTTTTTACCTTCGCTTTCATGAACTTATTAATATTTATCGACCAGAAAAAGTTTCAAAGGTTTAAAGCAAAGATATGCTTCCGGGAATCAGCGCGCATTGTGCTTTGGGAATGAACGTGAAATTGAAACTGTTTTCTCAAAAATTCCCTCTCCATGTTGTCTTGTCTTATGTAAGTACATGCAGACTGAATATACGTTGCTGTGGATTTAAAAACAAAGAAATAGTTGATATCTAAAATGCGGGTTAAAGCTGCTATTTTCACTCACTTCCTACAGCTTAATAATCGATATTAAGGAAAGCTCACTTTCGAAACTACTATAAATAGACGTTTCTAATTGCTAAAGGTGGGGAGTACTTGACACTTTACGAGTCGAGATATTACCAGGTCGATTGGCCAAATATTTTACGTCTTTTTAACAATCTTTCGAAACCACAACATTCTAGGCAAGAGATGTGATTCAATAAAGACGTTTGTATTCAGGAATACCGCGAAGACAACATTTTAAAAGGGTTCCATTGTTGGCGCCGTAAAGCCGACAAACCACAGACAGAGCGCTGACTTCAAGCCGCGTGGTATCACACACCCACATTGTGAGAGATCCAAATCAAAGTGTTTAGTTAATAAGAGTAAGTTTGTTCTCTCTGAATGAATAATGTGATAACGGATAGCTGACTAATAAGTCTTCCTTCTGACTTATCTTTCCAAAGAAGCTCGTGAGCGACTCCTGACCCTAGATCCACAAAGTCTTTCCGTTACGGGAAAAAACAGCTTCTCAAAACCACCAACTTTTAATTCCAAACAATTAAACCCATTCTTGTTTTCATTATCGCTTTTCCTGTATTTGTTTAGTTAGAATGAAAATGAAGTGCTAGTTTTCGATTCAGAGTGGTCGTTAAGTCCGGCAAATACTGTCTACTTGTGCACCAATCAGTTCTCGTAAGTCAGACTACCTTGAGAGACGATTAAAAAACTCATTTCCACCGGGAAGAGCTTGTTTACAGATAATGCCGTAAAGACAAGCTGCAAGTCACTTAAAGTGAGATTTAGATTCCTTTTTCAAGGACACGACCACACCCTTCAAGATGCACGACAATAAAGTCCCATCCTTTTCTCTCCCACGTTTCTCCATTCCTTTTAATTACAATTTCATCTGACCATTATTTCATATTCAACGACCAACACGACGATCTGTTTTCATAGTAGAAAAAAATAAACACAGCTTTACGATTATTTGTCTAAAACTGTCTGCAAGTGATAACGCATTATAACTTAGGTACATAGACCCTTTCTGTCCCCATGGAACAATAATTCCCGATCCACAAAGCCCAGATGTTCTTTGGGGTTTTACGGTACCAATAGAGACACTACTTCCGGCGGAAACGAAACGTAAAAAGATGCCACACCAGAGAAAGGCACAAAAAGAATGTAACAGATCATATTCATTGATTGTCAAAAATTTTCCATATTATTTTTTTTTTCATTTTAACAACAATATGATTTTAATCATTTGAGTTAGTATTTGTTTCGTAGTCAAAAGAAGGTTTTTATTTCCCCGGACATGACGAAATTGTGTGACACAGCGAAGTAGATTGATTATGATTGACAGATGTCAGATATCTACCGCAATCATTCAAAGACTATTCTCTATATCGAGTTGTACCGTAAAACTTGCCTCAAAGAGATTGCGGGATTGTACGCTAATTTTGCCCTATTTCATGAATTTTACGTTTTCTTGCTGAATGGAAACAATTCACAAAGAGTATCTCCTTGTTTCTTGAGGGTTGTTCGGAGCAAAGTTGTTTGAAGGTGAGTTGAAAATTATGCGTATCTTGACTCGCGTTTCCGTAAATCACTTTGTTTATCTGAATTCAGCTGAATTTTGGATCTTAACTCCTTCAAGATTCAAAGTAAAATGTAGTTAAACGAAATTGCTGCTGTATTGTCGGACTATATTACTCCGTTAGAACCGCCGATTTGTGGTAAGATTCCAGAGAATGGAGCTAATCGAGCGAACTCGTTTATCATGAACTAGACGTTAAAATACTCTTACTTTTCGTCATGTTTAAGCAAGGAGAAGGACACATAACTAATATAATAGATTCCTCGGACACTTAGGTAGGTTTTTAGGTCAGTTTTTTCATTATTTAATCAGAGCCGCTGCGAGCCTAAAAGTAATTTTGCCAATTTCCAACAGCTTTGTATTGAGGGCGAATTTAATGGATTTGTATCGTTGCCTTGAAAAGTCAGCTCGGATATACAATTGTATAGAAATAACTCCTTCTATTGTGACTCATAAGACCCTCTCTGCTCAGAAAAAGACGATAGACTGATCACTCTATATTAAGCCTTCCATGTGGAAAAATTTTCTCTCAAAGCTGGACAAACCGCAAAGGGGCAGATTATTTGGGATTCCTAAACAAAACACATCATCAAAAAACCGCCACAGCATAATTATTTTCAGGATCAAATGACACAAAATTATACTTCTGATTTTTTGAATCTTCATTGCCACTCATGTATCATTTTTCCTTCTTCCAATTTATTGTTTTTCACACTTTAGAAATGAGCTCAATTTAACGGGCATTGTTTGACGGTAGCGTCGGAGACTTTTGAGCAATTTCGAGCGAGCATTTGTAATGTTAGTTTTGACATGTTGTGGCATGGATGTGATCCTTATCATTTTGCTTTTAGACTCGGGTTATAAACCGACGTGAACTCTAGCAAATCTGCCACTCCAGGCGATGAATGTTATTTGAGACCGAAGCTTGTTCTTTTGCGGTGCAGTACACATGTTTAATGACTAAAGTCATAGGAAATAATCAGGCAGATGTTGGCAACAATGACTAACTGAGTCACTCTTCTCTACCATTAAAACACTTGTCAGTTTGTGTTGATAATAAACATTCGTATTTCTTAAAGTAGATCTTCTTGATTATTCTGTCATGTTGACGAAAATGAAAGTCTTTTCACCGAGCTGACTCCAAAAAAATCGCCGCAAGCGTTGTCACAAAATAATTCAAAGTGACGTTTCTCTGCTGTGAAATAAAGGTATATTCCTGCGTAGCATATTCCGTGACTATTAAGTGGATTAATATACTTTATTTTGGTTCACACTGTGTCAAATTGATAAAAGGTGAACATCTATTAAAAACAGTTGGATAATATTAACCACTATTAGTAGAAGTTCATGATTTACAAAGTAAATATGTCATGTACCATTGTGTCATCTCCATGCAGCATACAGTCAATTATTTGTCAATCTTGAATGCTGTTTACCAAATCCTTAAAAGTAAAAATTTACAATTCAGGATGAGGATGTTGCCAAAGGGCTTAGTATGAATCCTTATTATCCAGATACTATTGAAGGATTGCCGTTGTTAGGCAAGAAATCTGTGTCTACATATAGGGTAAAGTAGAGAAAATAGCACAAGTACAGTACAGTAGTACCAATGACCTACTGTGAAGCACTGTTGTTTGATCACTGCATCTCACTCTATTCCTTTGAAGCTCTATCTTATGGTAATCAATTGATCAATTAAGCGATAAGCTTACTTCACAAAGTCAATAGATTGCTTTACACAGCGGACAAAGGTGACTATAGTTAAACCAAGATTACACACTGAACTTTTAGACAGATTGGGACCATAGGACAAAGTTTACTTATCCCTGCTTTTAGCAGTATTGGTAACCAAAGACTCTCAATGTTAACAACAATGATCAGTTTGTGGATGGTATGTGGTTTTTGAAAAAGGATTGTTTGGATTTCATGAGTTTGGTCAAAAACATTTGAAGTTATCACTTAATGTTATGTGAAAGAATGCATAATACAGATGAGTGTTGTTATCGTGTCTAAAAATTCTAAAATTGAATATGAAAATATTCATGATTAATATTGATGTAGTGTGACTCATTTTTGTTTCAACAAAATAGATTGCTTTAATTCAAGCTTTTGTTTTGATTTCAAAAATACACATATCACAAGACAGATCATTCCAATGTTGTTATTGAGAATTTCATTCATTTATAATAAGATAGCGTGCATTACCGTGGACAAAAGCCTTATATAAAGCTGTAAATAGATGAACCAATACTATGTATCAGACTAAATATATATCACATTCATGAAGTGTTGTTTCAACATTGTTATCCAGAGGTTTCAATTCATGGCAGGGATAACATTCTCTACTTCTACTTTGCACTACTCAAAATATTTTCTTGTCTGTTGGATTAATTAATTGCATCCTTGCTCCTTTCAAGAAATTAGTTAATTAAGTATAAATCTATTAGAATTTGTCATTTTAGAAGTCCAGCCATTGTTGGTTAAGTAGACTTTATGGCCTCAAAGTACCTCTTGAATTTGTTATTATATTGATCTAAGAAGTCAAATACTTCTTATATGATATTATGGATTTTTTGGTCAAGATGTATATGTGCACTAGAATATAATTTTCTGTAGGTTACAGGGGAATGTTTCACATGGTATTCATGTTGTGCTGTATAATACTTGTCTGAAAGCTTGCTACATAATAACAATATGTACTCCTATTCCATAAGATAATCATCAAATAATAAATAAATTGTTCCATATTATTATTACAGTCAACTCTCTTGTAAGTGACCACCTCGGGATCAGGTAAAAGTGGTCGCTTAGGAGAGATGGCCGCTTACGAGAGAGTTTTTTTACAGAGTATATGGGAAACCATTATAACGGGAAATTTAAAAGGTGGTCGCTTATGGGATATGGTCGCTTATGAGAGTGGTCGTTCAAAGAGAGTCAACTGTATTTATTATAACCATTATTGTCATTAACACTAAAGAGATGATGTACATATAAAGTTGTTAAATACATCCAAAATATTACTGCTTCCATTCTAAATACAGATGCAGTCTTATTACTGGGAGAAGAAGGGAGGTCCAGACTCAGTGAGACATGATGTTACATTAATTTAAACCTGGTAAATAACAATGGATATTGAGCTTTTAGTGTCTTGTTCGTCAATCCCAGTAATACATGCCATACTCCGTGGGAACGAAGTACTTTAGACCTTGTTCCGGAAGTTTAAGTCAGCTGTTAAGGTCAATAAAATGTCATGACATATTGTTTTGCTTTCTAAAATGAATCTAAAATTCCACATAGTTAATGTAGTTCATTTCTTAATATATATATATTATATATATATAGGCAGATTGTACTTAATAGTACTTTTGTACTATTTCCACATCAAAAAAAGCCTTGGGGTCAAACAAGAACATGATCTAATAGACTTTGTATCCACGGGTATTTTTTTGGGTACAAGGAACAAACACTGATTACTCCTTGCTTCCTGGGGATGCTTCAGCATAGTCCTTTTATTTCAAATTATACTCTTGAACAATTTTGATATAAGTTTACCACACAAACAACAAGGTGTTTACAAAGAAAAGAAGTCAAATATTTTTTAGAAGCACAGAAGAATGAGATTTTTTGAATTCAGTGATATAATCACATTTTGTTTGGTAGAAATTGTCTTTTTTACTTGGCAAGTTCTGGTTGGCTTCACAATATGACAGGTAGTTCTTATTGAAATATACAGTGTATGTCTTAACTGGTAAAAGTCTACGCTAACTGAGAAGTATGTACAATAACAAGATCTTTTCTTTACAACATAACTGAAACAAGGCACTCACAAATCCATTTTACTGTCAGTATTAATAACTATAAATATCAATTATTAATAACTATAAATAACAATTATTTGAATAGGCTATGTGCATGTACAGTGTATGGTATATGAATACATGTGTTTAATAACATAATTACAGATATTGAGATATCGTTTGTCTAAGAGCCTGATTCTATTGTTTATCTTGAGAAATTCCATTCAATCATTGTTGTTGTGAAAGTATCAACTTATATGTCTTAAACAAATACTTCAGAACACCATACCTTTTACTAGACTGGTAACAATGTACTTTTAAGCTTTGGCAGTCTTGAGATGTATATTTTTGCAATTCTACTGCTTAGATATAAGTGAATGTCATAAACTACTGGTATTTAAACTGATTTCTCCTTTTCAAACAAGAAACATAGTTTTTTTAAAGGTAGATCATCTCTGCCAATGTGGGTATTACAATATCAGTGAATATCAATACCATGTGTTTGCTTAAGGTTAATATCTTACATATCTCATTAGCTTTTCTCTTTGATGATTCAATTTAACTCTGTTATCACAGCTACTCTTTCATTTACCAAAGATAAGAAAACTGATGGCTAAATTATTGACATTTTTGTCTTGTATCTTCAAGGTTCACTTCTCACAGGATGATTTCATGAATGTCACATACAAAAAGTCCATCATTATTGATCAAGAACAATGGTTTACTGGGAGAAGCTGGTTTGCTTGTTGCTTGTGGTAATTGTTAATTATCAACACTGTAGTGCAGGTAACAGATCCTCTATGATATTTTTGAATTATGTCTTGAATAAATATTAGCACTATTGAAGTGCCTTTTTTTCCTGTTTGTCATTGCTTTTATTTAGAATGGCTTCATTTAGAAGTAATACAATACAGTCTTTATATACAATGTCATAGTTAGTAATATGTCTTGAGATATGATTTATTGTTTGTTTGAATGTCCTTTTTATCCTGAGTGTCTTTTGAACAATTTATAATTGCATATTTTGAAATACTCTTTGAAAGCGGGTACATTTGATTGATGTACATGGTGACATGTTTTCCATTCTTTTGATTTGTCTTTGTCCTTGTATTTATTTTGATTGTCATTTCTTTCAATTGACAATTTAACTTTTCATTTCAATTAAGAATTTTGAATTTTCATATGATTAAATCTAAAATATTTAATTTTAACATGTGAAATGTGATAATGACATAAGTGAATTTATGTGTTTTAAGGATTATTTTAATTTGTATAATATTATGTAAGACTCACATGTAAGAAGTAAAGTGTTTAGACAATAAACTGTAATGAAGATTCTATTCTGGTGTACTGTAAGCAAACAAGTACACAGATGAATAAATAAGTAAATTTTCTATTATTCAGACTCCCTTCCTCAAATCATTGAACACCCAGAAGATGTTATAGCAGCAAAAAACTCAAATACAGAACTTAGATGTAAAGCTACAGGGTCCCCTAAACCAATAATACACTGGCTGCGTAATGGGAAAAAGGTGCCAACTGATGAAGATGATCCAGAGAAAAGAAGATACATTTTGCCTTCAGGAAATCTAACATTTATCAGGGTGATTCAGAAGAAGAAACGGACAGACAGTGGCAAGTATCAATGTGTTGCTGTTAATAAAGTGGGGAAGACGACCAGTAAAGCTGCAACGTTGTTAGTTGGAGGTAATTGTTATTTTTCATTTTTAAACATGACGAGAAACCTATTTCAGGCCTGAAATTGGTTCATAATGATTCACCAATTTTTTAATATTTCTGGGTTTATCCATTCATATGTTAGTGCTACGATCCCAGTTCAAGACAGAACCAAGAGATAGAACAGTAACAGCAGGAAATCCTGTCACCCTTAAATGTAACCCACCAAGAGGCAAGCCATCGCCAAAAGTATCATGGATTAAGGATGGAGTCATGGTGAAACCTGATGGGAAAAGAGTGCTTATTAAGGAACCTGGAAGCCTATATATTTCAGCTGCACGCAAGGTTGACCAGGGAAAGTATGTTTGTCTAGCAACAAACCCTTTGGGACAAAAGAAAAGCAATACTGCAAGACTAACTGTAAAAGGTATTGACTCATTTCTGGGTATCCGGTCAATTTCTTATGAATATCTAGTTGATGTGCTTTATGTTACATTAAAAATAATCCTAGGTATCTTATATAAAGTCTATGCCGAACATTGCCATATTTGTCGATAACTATGATGATCACAACACAATAAACTCTTGTTTAGACAGACAAATTCTCTTAATTCTAAAAACAAATGTAATTCAAGTCTGAACAATAGTTGACAAGCACAACCGCAAAAAAGTGAAAGAAACATTAGCATGATTCAGTATTTTCTCTTAGTGATACTGACATAATAGATTATAGAAAACAATTTGTCTTAAATTACATGATATGTTATTCCTAGAATTACCTGCAACAGCTCTAAGAATTCGCCCTGCACAGAAAACTGTGTCAGCTGGTAGCAGTGTAACATTTCAATGTGATTATCGAGATGGGCCACAAGGTGCCATTAGATGGTCCAAGAAAGGGGGTACTCTTCCAAATCAACGATTTAGTACAACCCAACATGGAAAACTAACTTTAAATAACATCCAGCCTGGAGATGAAGGGGAGTATGTGTGTAGCGTCTCTCCAACTCTGAGTGTTTCATCAATGCTGATAGTACAAAGTAAGTACATTCTACTGGACGATGACAAGAAAATCAATTATCATGACTTGATATAATGTTTCTACTACCAAACTTAGCATCAGTTCAACCTATTTTTCCCTTCAGCATTTCATCCTTCCATTAATTCATTTGTTCATTTGTTCATCCTCTCATCCAATGATTATTTAACTCTTTTATTCAGTTAAAAGAAGTCAAATTGATAAGTTGATTAATAGATACTGACTGACTGATAAGCTAAAATTGTTGTAATAACATGATGATTTCAAATTTCAAATGATTCTCTTGAATAATATACTAATATTAATGATCAACTAATATTTGCTTTTCTCTGTAGTGACGTCACCATCTTTTAATAAACTCTTCCCAGGTACTAATGTGATACTAACCATAACAAATACTTATCTAATCAGTTGTACTACAGGGTCAGGTCGTTCAAAGCCTGATTAGCTGGGTTAACTCTTAGAAAACTTATGGAGTTAACCCTGGATTAACACTAATAAGGCTTTGACTCAGGCTGTAATTAGTCCATGTCTTTGCTATGAATATTTCTGTCTTTGAATATCATGTCTTATTCTTCCATATTTCCAATCTCTAATGCTAATACTAAACCAGCTTTCTTCCCACTTCCTAATTGTCTATTAGATGGTACATCAACTGCCAGTCCGCTTCCTCAAGGTACTAATCTGTCTGTCTGTCTGCCTGTCATTACTAATAATATGATATAATGTCTCATCCTTTTCTTTGGTCTATTCGTCTGCTGATTTGGGATCAAACAGATGATTCACTCTTGATAATATTCCTTATTCACAGCCAAACCATCAATCACAATGCTTCCAAAGGATGTGATAGTTAGAGAGGGGGCCACTGCTAAGTTTTCATGCAAAGCCACAGGAAACCCACTACCTACTGTATTCTGGGACCAAAAATCTACACGTCAAACTATGTTTCCTCATCAAAACAATGGACGCTTTGAGGTAAAAACAARTGGAGATTTAATCATCAAGAATGTTCAGAAACAAGACAAAGGGGAATATGTTTGTTCAGCAATAAGTCAAGCTGGTGTGGAAACTGCTAGTGCTATGCTTGTAGTTGTTGGTAAGTACTCTTCATTATTASTTATGCAAACTGGCAACTCAAACAACATCAAACCATCAGTGTTATCTCTGAATTTATCCATTGTTTTTGAGAAATGAACTTCTATTGTTCCCATATCATTGACATCTGTGGGACCACTCTAGATACTCTAGTGTTAATTCCATTGTATACAAAACACTAAAATGACTGAATGAATGAATGCAATATCCAGCTGTCATTTCATATTTCTAATCTTTCAATTGTTTTGTTTAGGTATTTTAGACACCAAGCCAACATTAAAAACAAAGCCTCTTAATCAAACTGTCAACAAATTTGAGGATGCGATATTTTCCTGTACATTTGATGGGGTTCCTGTACCTAGTATAGAATGGAGTAAAGGCCTGGTATTGAGTAATAGTGCTAAGTATATCATAAAAACAGTTGGTTCTACATCACAACTAAAGGTGATAAGCAGCACTCAAAATGATGCTGGACAGTATGAATGTACAGCAACAAATACCCTTGGTACCGTCAAAGGAGTTGTACAACTAACAGTAGTAGGTAAGTTGCACTAGTAAGTCAGTAGTGAGTCTCTTGTATACAGCTAAGAACTCTAAACTAAATTTGTACATACAGGAAAAGAGAATATGCTTCAAACCTACATGTAATATATTGTTGTACAATGGTTGCACTCTCTTCTCTAATATAAACACATTGGAAAATGTAACAAGCTCTGGAGTAGCCATCTTAGAAACATGAGCATACTAGTAGTTCAAAAAACAAGATGATGGGAGGTTTCATTGTAATTTCATAGCATGATGGAGAATGCATTTAAGCTGCTCTTGTAAATCACTGGTCAGATTATCAAATTACAAAAAATTGTTTCAATCATTCTAATTTAATAATGTATTACTTTTTTAGACCCAACTACTACTTTACTCCCTGTAGTTTTGACAACAAAACCTGCTGTTCCACCATTAAAGAAACTTCAACCTCCATCACACTTGATAGCTCGTCCTCTAAAATCACATGATTCAGTTGAGTTGGTCTGGACATCTACCAAAGCATCACTTAGTCAACCAATAATGTACACAGTGGAATACAGGAAAGTAGGACACAAGATGTGGAAGGTAGCCATGCTATTAACTACAGTAGACAGATGCAAAGTAACCAACCTGCAACCACTCACTATGTATGAGTTCTCTGTAAGAGCTAAAGCAGGGCAAGAGCAAAGTAAGCGTACAACGACAAGGTTTAAGACAAGGAGGAAGACAGCTACTTCAGTTGTTCCTGTGATCCCAAGAAAGCCAAGACCTACAACTTTTGGTCCTGCTAAGAATGCTAAAGTTATTGTCAAAGCTAAGCCAGTCAAATGGGACAAGCTCAACATAACATGGAAGGTACAGTAGCTCAAGTTGACAATAAAGTCATCATTTTTCTTGTAAACAACAATTGTCTTGACATGATAAAAGTAATTAAATATGAACATTTATTTTCTTAGTTTGATCGAAAGATCAAGAAACTGTCAGCTGGGTTCAATGTTTTCTGGAGGAAAGAGGAATCTGCTGATGATTTTAAACAAATGGCAGTCATTGGAGACGGCGTACAAGAACACATGTTGAATGGACTCTCGGCAAATACTAGCTATGTTATCCAAGTAGAAGTCTACTTTAGCAAGCACACATTACCTAAATCCGAAGAAGTTGTTGGTGTTACTGGTGTAAGAGATAAAGGTAAACTCCAAATGATTAGCTCTCTATCAGGTGTTGGCTTGATGTATGGAACTTGAGAATAAAGCACTGTTTCTACTTCTAAAATAAGAAAATATTTTTTGTTAGCAAAATTCCATCTTGAAATGCAGATATTTGATGTTCATACAAATAGCATTAGAGTTATAATGACAATGTGTTGAAGAAATGTCACATTTTGAAATAAAATATAACTATTATCATTGATTTTAGGTTTAATTGTAATATTAGATGAAGGGAAGAAGGATGGTTCAGAAGGCGATGTTCAAATCATACAAGCTGATACCAAATCAGGGGGGACATGGTCAAGAGTTYGTGAGTTTGTTCGTAAACCATGGTTTATTGCTATTATGGGTGGTATACTATGGATAGGACTTTTTGTGATTGTTTTGTTCCTCTACCGACGAAGACGACGCAATAGAAGGAATCTTAAGCAGAGAAAATGTAAGTAGAATGCATTATTGTTGTTTGCATTGATGCCTGACCAGCCCAGATAAAATTCAAGATTTGCAATTAGCAATAGGTTGCCATCAGTCAAAATCTTCAAGCAAAGCCTGTGGGTGGCAATTTAGTTTCAGTAGAGAAGATGGATCTAGACTGGTCAATGCAAATGATAGTAAAGTGCTTGCACAAGTTTTAGTGTTGTGACATACATTTTTGTGTATCTCACATGTTTCTTTTGGCATTCTTCAGTATTTGATTTTTTTGTTGTTATCCATGATGACTAATAATTTTTTTGGGTTTCAGTGAAACTTCAAATTGCAGAGATTCAAAGGGCCCCAACAAGGTAAATATTTACAAATTGACTATTGATGTTGTCATCGCTGGTGTTGTTATCATTGTTCCACAGTGCTTTTGTTGTCAATACCGTTGTCATTGTTGTTGTTGATGCTTATTTGTTTGTCTGAGTGTTTAGGCCACACTAATCTTTACCCTTGTTTCCAGTCCTCAAGGGCACAAGACGTTATGGATGGATGATGTTAATACGACCGATACTCCACCACAACAACTAGCTAACAATCGTATCAGTGATACATCTTCTACAGAATGTCTTAACCGATCAGTGACAAGTTGTTGTGCAAGACGTGGTATTAATTCAAACACTGCTGATTTTCCAAATAAGATAACTATCAACTCATTGACAGGTACGATTACCATTATTTTGGCATTTTATAGTCATTGAAGATTTACTCAATGATACCGAATATGGTATAATCTGGAAAAGTGGCTTATATACCATCACACCATCAGACTTGTTTAACACGATGTTCTTCTTGCAGGATCTCGTCTGGGTGAACCTAATCAGTTTGATGCATCCACTGAATCGAAATTATCATCAGAAGGCAAAACAAACAATGTACATCATTCAATCAACAACTATCGAGAACACCTCAATAAATCAACCAAATTTGACGAAGTCGGAGAAAGAGGTAAGCTGTACCCACATTGATCAATTTTTGACATTGTTATAGTCTAAATAAAAGTGTTTTTATGAGATATTCTACCGCCATTTGATACCAGAGAAACACTGTTGCAATGTGAGTGAAAGACTTTTCTCAAGGCCTTATGGGAGCTTGTTTATTTCAGGATCTCTTGGTTCACGCAGCGGATCCGAAGCAACTCTCCCTAGAGCGATGCCTCAACAGACGTCATTCCTCACACCTACACAGCAGTTTATAAACAGAAAGAAAGCCAACACTAGAAGTGACAGCCCCGCATCTCAACACAAAGATCCAAACAAGACACCAGACGATTCTTCTATCAGCGAAAAATCAAAACCTAAACTAAAGATACAGTCATTTGAAATGGCGAGCAATGGGTCCATTCCTGGAACAACAACTTTCCACGCTGACCCACCACCTACTTACGAAGCTGTTCTCAAAGAGACCGAGCTTGAAAAACAACTCGAGGATGGGGAGGAAAAGAGTAAAAGTAGAGAAGAGCTTGCTGAGAAGCTAAAGGGTACACCGTTCAACGACAAACCTACACCACGTGCACCAAGCCCGCCTCTTAGTGAACGCAGTTGTAGAACAACATCTAGTTGTGGAAGTCGGAAGCGTAAAGTATTAAAGCCTCCTCCTCGCCTAGCTATATTAAACTGGGCTGATCTGCTTCCCCCACCACCCTCGCACCCTCCTCCAAGTAGCTTAGGATCACCCCCACCTTCTCCGCCATTCAGTCTCAGATCTGGTATGACAGGTATGAGTGGAATGACAGGAATGAGTGGTTTAACGGGAATGAGTGGTATGACCGGATTAACTGGTATGACTGGAATGACTGGTCGAACTGGAAAGAGTAGTGGTAATGGTTTGGTTGATAATGAAATACCAGAACGACCTCGTAAGAAACCTCCTTCGTCTGCAGTGTCAGACTCAGCTGTATCAGCGGCTGAACCAAAGGTTCCTGGATCAACAAAGAGTGGTAAATCAGGTCACAAACACAAGAAACCTAAACCAAAAGCTTTACCTATAGACCTTGAAGGTATCACTAGTGACATTATAATGCAATGGGCAGACTCAGTCACTAACACGAGTGGTTCAGACGATGATTCATCGTGCTCTAGTCCTAGTAGAGTTAGTAGTACAGGGTCGTTCTTTACTGACGCTGACTTTGCCAATGCTGTACGAGCCGCAGCCGAGTGTGGTGGTTTTAATATGGAAACATACGGGTTGATGGATTCCTTAGGGTACCCTCCACCGTATTCAGGAAGTTGGAAGAAAGGTAACTCGACTCCAAGTGGTAGTGATCCTAGTGGTCCTATTACATCGACACCTCGCAATCCACAAAACAAAACTAAATGGGAAACAGGAAGTGAAGGCGATCTTGATTTCACTCCCCCTATTACAGTACGACCTCGATTTACCAGGAAGGTACAGCCTAATGAAAATGGCACGCCTCCCCCTGTCGCTCCAAGTAAGATGGCAGCGGATATGGGAATACGGAAAGTTGCTAGAAGTCCAGTCCCTCTCGTCCCTTCACAGCCGCGAAGACCTATTCCCAGAGCCGCTAGAATGAACTCTAACTCGCCAGTACCTGGTCCAGGACAAATTATTGTACAGCCTTTAAAGAAAACGTCTGCCCTTAACGCGCCGGAGTCGGCCAGCAAGATACCAGTTACGAAAAAGTTTGCCGTTGTTAAAAAGATTCCACAGAGTAAAGATACCGAGCCATATAATAGCGCCACGTTAAGCTCTAGTGGAAAATCGAGTACGAGTACGGCGAGTACCGTTAAGACGAGTACCATGGGTGACTCTGATGCAGAGGTAAATTATCTTGACAATCGCGGTAAAACATCATTGACTATTACCTTACTATGTATCAGTATCTTGTAACTCCATTGTCAGAAATGTTCGCTATAGTGGTGAAAATGTGGTTATCAGTGATAGTGATGATGAAGGTGACAGTATACTGACCTAAACATCTAAAACTTTATTAAACCAGAGTCTTTATGTGGTGGTGATCATCATCATCCTTCATATCATCGTCATCATAACCATCATGATTATGCTATCATTTACCATTCCAATGGTGAACAGTACTTTACATCAAGCCCATAAATTAGTACTATACCCTTAGCACTTTCATATTTTTCTTCTTGCAGTCTGCAGCGTAAAGCAAAGACTTTATTGACGAACTTTCTTGCTATAAACTCTGGAAATGGCGGGACAAAGTATCTCAGATTGTATAGTGATTTGATATACTAATGAAAGGACGCATGACAGATTCATCGTGAGGTATTATCAAGGACACCCCAACAAGTGATCTACAGTGTACAAAAAAAAAGACATTGCTCATACAGACAATTTGTAATATTTTATTTTTAATACTTAGTTACCTAGATATACAAATATATGTAGGAACTGAAATCATGAAATCGTTATCGTTTATATATCTAATCTAAGGAAATATTTTCCGATTAATCTACATTTAGCTTTTGTTGTCAGGAGAACCAAAGGGGGGCTTAATACACGGAGAGAGACCATACTCTTTCATTGGCGAATCAATAGTATGAATCTAAGCGTGCTAAATCCCTCGCCAAACTTTACAATCCTCGAAACCCCTTTTCTCACTGATCGCGATTGCAAAAGTTTCAAATATACGTTGACATTTTTTTATTATCCGAAACATGTACTTGAGTGTTCTTCATAAACCCGTGAAATAAAGAGAGTGTAATAACAATAGTATTTTACAGATTATAATCGATGACCTGTAAATATGATATTCCGATGTATTCCCGCGCGTCACGGCGTTTTCATGCATTGGTATTAGTATCTTTGGTAGGCAATACTGATGCAGATGAAAACCCTTTGATGTAGATAGTGATATTATGTTACTATAGTTATTTATAGAGCGCTGTTTTCTATTTTCTATTTTATTGCTTTCTTCAAAGGGCCGCATTTTGCATTATGTTTCAACATTAAGTTGAGTTCATTTATATGATGGAGATCAATGTATATTATAAACGAAATGATAGGAATTATTAAATGAATATGTTGTATAAAAGCGATGATGTGTTGTTTGTTCTTTACCCTGATTACATCTGCTTATCTTGTTGAATCTAAAAATGTATGAATATCACGTCAGGAATATCAAGAATGAGAGAGTATTACAAATGAAGGGGATGTTAACTTCTGCTTTCTGGTGGAAAGTAGCGGGAAAATAATGTGAGTTGCGTCGGTGTTTCTAAAGATCACAAATGAAGAAGTGCAACAGTTAAAGCATAGTTACCGCTTATTGCGCTTGCTTTTGCATTGCACTTGATTTTGTTAGTTGCGTGAAACGCAACCAAGATGCAGCTTCTTGCGCTTGCTCATGCGGTTGTCCTTTTGTCGCTATACGCACTTTAGGGCTGTCGGGAGATGCATGGCTTTCCATGATTTATTGTATACTACGTCGCAGCCAAATCGTACGTTTATTTATTTATTGCTTTATTTGTTTGTCTATATCTTAATGCTTGTTATGAATTCAAAACTGAAAAAAACGTTGAAAATAACGCCAATTACGGTAGTTTGGGTTTCCTGTGTTTAGATAGTCCCTTCATCACGTGATGCTTACTTCCTTGACAAATTCCAAAATGGCGGCTCCTCCACCGCCAGCTCCACCACCACCACCTCCGATAATGAACGATATACCTCCACCACCAGCGCCTCCAACTCAAAGCCAACCTCCCAGTAGCTCAGAGCAACAGCCAAACAATTCTACAACGACACCACAACCAAGTACAACAAACAACAACGGAGAAAAGGCTTGGGAAAGACCATGGTCCATCTCAGAAATGCGGAAAGGATCTTCCAAATGGAATCTTGCAGCAGACGCTGGGGTGAGTTAACTTTCATAATACGTTATTCTGAGTATTAAATATGCCATCGGTGGTTTGAGAATTGGTGTGGGATTTCACATAACACTTGACGATTCTTTGAAATTGTTTTAAAATCAAGTTGTAAATCCGTGACATCACTGATCGAGCCAGTCAACATAGCGATATATTCATTATTGTTTATTGTTTATCTTTCTTTATTAGTCAAATTGAAAATCTGTACATTTAGCTATGTAAATGTCATGATTGAATCTGTTTGTCCAGACAACCTATCAATGTTTTATTTATTTTCAATTTAACAATCAAACGACTGATCATAGTTTGTTTTGTTCCTAGTTGCTGTTATATCTTCAACAATTCTCTCAGAAAATGGTATCACAGACTCATGAAATAGAGAAGCAGGTTGATGGCTTGGTCAGCAATACTAAAGGGATTTATTCTAAAGTCCAGAACACAGTCAATGATTTCCTTATGTTATCAAACACTCAATTTATTGAAAATGTAAGTCATCAAATAATTGAAGTAAGAGGTCACTGTTTGTCCATTGTCTGACATACATCACCATCATGACTCTTTTWTTTATTATACCCTACAAGCAGAGATTCCTTTCTCCTCCTAACAGAGACACTTACTGTAGCCAACTGGGTTATTGACTATTCTAAAAATTCCAGAACAGGTAGCAATAACCTCATTCCTAAGAAAAACAAGAGAATAGCCAATTGATGTCTCATGTTGCTAACCAGTATTTTGTTTTTGATATACCAACAGCGTGTTTACGAAGAAGATGTTGCTAAAGATGGTGAAGAAGAAAATGCAAAAAAGGAAGGACAAGAGCAATCTAAGGTAACTTCAACAAGAACCATTCACTTTGCAAACAGCTAGCATTAGCTGGTCTCCTTCACATCCTACCCCTTTGTTGGTCCTTCTGTCCCTCTTCTCTTTTGGGAGGGACAGGAAGCCCAAAAAGATGGTAGGCTACAAAGGAGACTAGCATTAGCTTGATATATTTTTTTTCTTTGAAAATCAACTTTATTCTGCTTAAAGTGTACCACTTTATTGTTGAAACAACTCAATTTTGTCTGAACAGAAATCAAGAGAGCAACAAGAGCAAGAAGTAATTCCAAGAGTTGCTGAAGCTTTGAAACATGGAATCAGTGTGTTGAATGATGCATTCATCACTTTAGAATTAAAAACAGAACATGGTAAGAGTGTCAATCTTATTTATTTTGTCCTCTTCTTTAGTTACTCATGATTTGTACTTTTTATAAAAGCAAGAAAGCCAAAGCATATCACCACTCTTTCAGTTATCGTTTTTTCCATGGATGATCACTCCACATTCCATTGAACTTTGTTAAACTTTTGCTTTCTTGGAAAACAATAATCAGAATTAATACTAATTTTGAATTTACAGATTCAGATGAAGATGAGGATGAAAATGTACAAACTAACTACAATCCACAGCCAATTCTAGAACCCAAGGTGCACTTACTTGTATAAATTGAAATAATGTTATTATTTAAAGTACTAAGGTTGCTAAATTTGATTGATTATCCTTGTAAGATATCTTGTTAACCCATGTATTGTATGCATATTAGGACTTGTATGGCCACCGACCACTTCCACACCTGATTGGTACGGCTGACTTCTATCGAGATGATCTGATAGGACTAGGGGAGTCAGAGTCTGAAGGTATTCTAAGCATAATTCTATATTGGATCTAACACTGTAGACTACAACAAGACTAAAGAAAGTCCAATAAATCGTTGTGTATCAACCCAACTTTAGAATTTGGACAATGATAACTTGAATATATTCAAAGACAAAAGATATATCAAAAATATCAAACATCACAACATGAACACTGCTTACTGCATTTCATTCAATTGATAGTTTGCCTCCATGATCGTCTGATGTGTGCATGTTCATGATTCTGTTTTTGTAGATGAAGCAGCAGAAGAAGAAGAAGGGGAAAAATCAAGCGAATCAGAGAGTGAATCTGAGTCTTCTGCTTCTAGTGGTGAAGAATCAGAATCAGAGGTACAGCGTAAAATTGATAGTGCTTTCCTTTGTGATTTCCTTTTTAAAACCTTTTTTACAGTCCTCAGCAAGTGAAAGTGAGAGCAGTGAATCAGATACAGAAAAGATAAAGACTAAAAAAGCCAAGAAAAAGGTATAAATTACCAGAGACTGGATTTACTCGTTCTTGTAGTTTATATACTGCGCGAAGCGCCGTCCTTGAGGCCGAAGGCCGAACCGTAAACCAGCCTCTGGCGGCACGGATAGCGAATCTCACTTCCATGTCAGTGTTTTCATTCAAGATCTGAATGTTGCAGTTGATTGGTCCGTTGATATCAGAGCGATATTATTGGTTGAAAATCAAAACCGGTTTTCAATCAGATACTCGATTGTAACTTACTTCTTACACCACATTACAACTCTTGTTGTGTAACAAAACACATTTTGAAAAAATATCCATAATTATTAAGCCTTTTCAAACACACTAGAGGAGAAGAATTGTGATATCTTATTTTCTTTAATTGAGTTGCATTGTGATTGTATCACAGGAAATTCAGTATTCAAGTTCAGAAGAGGAAGATGATTTATTCGGTGAAAAGAAAGTGAGAAAGGATGATGAATCAGATGAAGAAGAAGAAGACGAAGAGGAGGAAAAGGTTGATTAATAGTAGTAATGCAAGACAAATTGCTATCAAATGAGATTAATTGAAAAGAGTGGCAAATGAATGAGCGCACATAGGATTTTAAACCACAGTCTTTCAGCAACTATTGGCTTATATCTAATTACGAGTGCAGACAGGACACTTAATTTGAAAATAATATTGTTCACATATTCTATTTTATTTTAAGACCCAGACTAGTGGTCCAATGGGCTTTGCAGCAGAGTTAGCAGCAAAAATAGGAGTAGCATCCCCACAGCCCAAGGACAATGAGGAAGAAGAACACGGAGGATTTAGTGATGAAGAAACAGAAACCAAAATACCCAAAGCAGTGGAGAAGACAAGGGCAGATAGTCGTGCAAGCACAGGGAGTAAGACTAAAGCAAAGAAAGAGAAGCATCATCACAAGAAAGGACGGTCAGGAACTAAAGATAGTCATGGTGGACATAGAAAAAGACATGATAGTAAAACAGCCAGTGCTGTAGAAGAAGGTATGTCATAAACTGTAATCATTCAGCCAGCACAGGATGTTGTTAATTGTTCAGTATTTAATTCCTCAATTCCTTGATTTTACAACGCTCATAAAAATCTGTAGCCAACTTTAATTCTTGCTTGGTTGCTTGTTTGTAAACAATTTTGCAACAAAGTCACAGGAAAGTGTGTGAAATCTAACTCTCAGTAATAGATTAAAAGTAGGATAAATATTATCAATTTATCAAATACTAATAATATTTATGTCTTGATTTAGATCTGTTTGCACAACCAACTGAGGGAGATGATGGATTGTTTGGTTCAGAGGGAAGTCCATTTACCAAGAAAGGAGGCTTATTTAGTGGTGGTGGAGGTCTTTTTGATGATGAGTCTCAGGTAAATGAAAACTTTCAAGTATTGTCTGTTTTAGGTTCAATTTTTGCAGTGAACTCAATTTCTCCAGACTTTTATCAGCATGAAAAAAAATGAATGAACAATGGAAAGTGAAATTCTCTGTCCTATTATATGAAATGATAATTTGTATCATTTTGCTCACTTCCTCTAGGGTGGTGGTTTGTTTGGTGATGACACAACCAGCACAAAAAATGCCTCTGATGAAGGTAAATCTATTTGTTACAACTAATTAGTTAGGTCAGTGCATATAAGTCTAATAATTCTCAAGCTATCATTTTAATTTTTTTCAAAATATCACTTTTTGTAGAGGAACAAAAAGAAGAAGAGACTATCACAACAACTAAGCCAAGAGCTAGAAGCACTGCAAGTGGAAAAAAGCTGCCTGCAGGAGCTGTGTCTATCTTTGGAGGTAAACTCCATATCTCACTGCTTTATATTTAACCCCTAACATATCATCCCTGTACCATTCATAGGTACACCCCTAAGGTATCACCCCTGTACCAATTATAGGTACACCCCTAAGATATCATCCCTGTACCATTGGTAGATACACCTCTAAGATATCACCCCTGTACCATCAGTAGGTACATCCCTAAGATATCACCCCTGTACCATCGGTAGGTACATCCCTAAGATATCACCCCTGTACCATCGGTAGGTACACCCCTAACATATCATCCCTGTACCATTCATAGGTACACCCCTAAGATATCATCCCTGTACCATCGGTAGGTACACCCCTAAGATATCATCCCTGTACCATCCAGAGGTACACCCCTAAGATATCATCCCTGTACCATCGGTAGGTACACCCCTAAGATATCATCCCTGTACCATCCAGAGGTACACCCCTAAGATATCATCCCTGTACCATCGGTAGGTACACCACTAAGATATCATCCCTGTACCATCAGTAGGT